CCTTATACCCCCCGTCCCCGAAACCCTAAACCCTACAGCAAGCCCTGATCCCTAACCCTAAGCCCTAAACCCCTTTGTGTGCAGCTCTCGGGCGGCTTCGGCGTCGTCCTTCGCGGCCTCGCGGGTGCCGACCCGGTGCTTTGGCCGCAAACTTACCCTTGGTTTAGGGTTTAGGGTTTAGGTTTCAGGGTTTAGGGTTTAGGGTTAAGGGTAGTACTACTGTTGATGATATAAATCCTGCATTACCTTAGGTTGCCTAAACTATGGGAATTATATGGCATTGTTATTATTATCGGTAATGCGGGATTTATATCATCAACCGCAGTCCTGAAGCAAGAGCAGATCTTGTCCTAATGGTGTAGTATGCAGAAAGCAGGCGGAAGTGGTTGCCGAGCCTTGCCCGTCTTGCTGAGCTGTCTTGCATGCCTTGGCGATTGGCTGTTCTGACCTTCAATATGATAAAGTACTATAGCGTGGTAGAATATGAAATCATATACTATAATATGATTTGATGTAATGGAATTTCAACCCTAAACCCTATACCTGGAACCCATCTCTCGCGTAAGGCCTGCACATTCTTGCGGCCGTGACCTGACACCCCAAGACCCTCAAAGCCTACTTGAAGGTTCATGGGTAGTTATAAGTGGAGTTATAAGTCCTCTAACATAGGGTAGGGTTTAGGGTTTAGGGCTTAGGGTAGTTATAAGTGGAGTTATAAGTCCCCTAACATAGGGTAGGGTTTAGGGTTTAGGGCTTAGGGTAGTTATAAGTTGAGTTATAAGTCCCCTAACATACGGTAGAGTTTAGGGTTTAGGGCTTAGGGTAGCTATGAGTGGAGTTATAAGTCCCCTAACATAGGGTAGGGTTTAGGGTTTAGGGCTTAGGGTAGTTATACGTGGAGGTATAAGTCCCCTAACATAGGGTAGGGTTCAGGGTTTAGGGCTTAGGGTAGTTATAAGTGGAGTTATAAGTCCCTAACATAGGGTAGGGTTTAGTGTTTAGGGCTTAGGGTAGTTATAAGTGGAGTTATAAGTCCCCAAATATATAGGTTATAACTATAGTTACCCTACTTATAACCCTACTTTTAACTGCCCATGAACCTCCAAGTACCTAGGCTGCCAAGATTCACGAGGGCTCATAAGTGCGAACCAAGCTAGGAAGCGGTAGTGACACGAACTGTAAGATCCCAGAGCATCATTGCCATTGCTGATGTGAGAGAATTCTACCATGTTCATCCGGTGTAATATCGGGGCCTCAATCAATACATATTTTTGGGAGTTCCTTGTAATACTTATAGGATAATGGGCCCCAAAACCCTACTCTAATTATGAAGGCCCCTATTTTGGACCCTCTTATCCGCCTCAGCAAGCCGAGGCCCAAACTCCTTTCAAATATAATCCCTCCGTCATCGAACACTGTGTCAATTCATTCAGGTTGCTTTGGTTGGCATTTCATCACGGTTTCATCGCCATCATGTTGGCAGCCGTATGAACTCTAAGAATTCTAGATTCCAGACGAATACGAACACTAGGAGTCGTCAGGCTTGTTTAATGCAGCGCTGTTTTCTCGCCCTGCCGACCCCAAAACCTAGCATGGTGGGAGCAGGAGCATACTTAGCAGGGTGCCTCCCTTTTTTCACGTTCCAACGTTATGGCCTTGGCTGTGATGGCCCTAAAGCCTCAGCCCTAATACCGTACCCGAAACCCTAAACCCTATCATGCAACCGGAAAAAGGAGCTCAAAACAAACAAAACCTAAACCCAAAACCTCGTTGCGAAGCCCAAAACCCAAAACCCTGAACCGTAAACCACAAACCCTAAAGCCTGAGGTGGTTTCCCCGGGTGCGGAGCCCTTCGGGCCTTTCCTCGAAATCACAGGCGTGGCGCAAGAGCACGCCCGAGGCCCTACCGAGGGCATCACAGGTTTCGGATCTCTGAATCATCGTCAAGCCTAGACCACGTAGTTGTCCTAAACTCTCGAGCTCTGGGTTGTCACGCTTTGGTTCGCCATGAGAGCCGGAAGATTGGAGGGTGCTGGGCCTCGCCACTTCTCTTCGCTGATGCAGGGTCTTCTGCTTTTTTGAAGGCCTCCGAGAACCCTAAACCATAAACCCCCGAGAACCCTAAACCATAAACCCTAAACCCCCGAGACTCAGGTCATCACCGAGATCAATGGGCAAAGCCCTTTGAAGATACTGATGCCCCTCATGCATGGCCAGGCCCTCTGTCCACTGGCGATCCAGTGCTGGTGGTAGTTGTGGTCTTTTTTTGGTAGTGGTAGTAGCAGTGGTGGTAGTAGTAGTAGTAGTCGTCGTCGTCGTCGTCGTAGTGGCAGTGGCGGTGGCAGTGGCAGTGGCAGTGGCAGTGGCAGTAGCAGTGGCAGTAGCAGTGGCAGTAGCAGTAGCAGTAAGCAGTAAGCAGTAAGCAG